GAGGAAGCGAAAATAGCTTTCGTGCGGGGAGAAAATGACTTTTAATGGCTGGAAGAATTAACGCTTTAGGGTGGGGAATATTTCCCCTGCTCGTGAAGGATTTGAAGCAAGGGAACAACACGAAATTTATAAACCTGTAACTTGTAACTTACAAACGGTGAACTTACCCCTTTGTTAGATAATACCTTGTTAAAGATACGATATCGATCGTGGAAGAGTTAATATAGCTTGTTAACTCTTCGTCGAAGAGTTTCGTAACGCTCGAGAACGATGCGAGAAAATCGTTTCAATCTTCTGTGAAAATCCAGTCTCGCAAGACGAATCGAGAGAATGAAAATCTGAAAACGCAGACGTTCGAGAACCAGCGAGAGATTGCTGAATAAAAAGTTGTTTAAACAAGTATCCACACCAATATTCGCGTTCACGAAAGTGACACTTCGCGAGACTAAAAATAAATTCGTTAACCGAGGCGAGAAAATTACAAAACACTTTGACGCGGTATTATCGCTAGGTTGTTTGAATCGAATCACAATGTGTCACACGCGCGAGGATCCAAGATCCAAGGATTTCGCCTTTCGTAGCTAATTTACAGTCGATTCGATTAGCCGTGGCGCGTGGATTAAACGAAATTAAGACGAATTTAATCCGACGTTAACTCGACGAAAAGCCAAGAAAGCATCGTGGAAACGACGCGTCTCCGCCTCCGATCGTTTCTAGCTTCTGATTAAATTATAAAATTATAAAACGAGTAATCGCCTTTAAACGATCGCGGAGAAAGGAAAAAGAAAGAAAGAAAGAAAGAAAATAACAGAGGAAGGGAAACAGCGCGCTTTTCGCACGATTCACCAGCCGTTTACGATGCCATCTCGAACCGCGTTAAAGTAAAATTCCGCGTAAAACTTCGCGGATTTTCCTCTGTTTTTCACGTCGCGGATAAACAGAGTCTTATTTACCGATCCGCTGCAATTTCCCTCGCGGGGATAAATCCGCGATATAACCGCGGAAGACTTTGCAATCTGCACCGGCCGATGGAGAAAATAATTAACGAACCAAGTTTTTCACGGAGACGATGGCGAAGGAAGCAGGAAGAACAGAGAAAGAGAGAGAGAGAGAGAGA